CTTTGTCAGTGGGCAAATCGTTACACAATCCAGCAGGGGATCAAATACTTTTTTCCCTCACTGTATCTATCTATCTATCTATCTATCTATCTATCTATCTATCTATCTATCTCTATCTCTATCTCTATCTCTATCTCTATCTCTATCTCTATCTCTATCTCTATCTCTATTCTCTATCTCTATCTCTATCTCTATCTCTATCTCTATCTCTATATCTCTATCTCTATCTCTATCTCTGTCTCTCTGTTCTCTGTCTTCTGTCTCTGTCCTCTGTCTCTGTCTCTGTCTCTGTCTCTTCTCTGTCTCTGTCTCTGTCTCTGTTCGTCTCCTGTTCTCTGTCTCTTGTCTCTGTCTCTGTCTCTGTCTCTGTCTCTGTCTCTGTCTCTGTCTCTGTCTCTGTCTCTGTTCTCTGCTCGGTCTCTGTTCTTTCTCACCCTGCTCCCCATCTTCTTCTTTTCTCCCACCCACATTCTTTCCCTCTCCAGTCATTTTCACCTTTTTGAATTCCTCCCATTTCTAACTTTCTCTTTCTCCTCAACCCTTGATTTTTCTTCACAGACTTTTCCTGGCACTGTGTTCTCCGCAGGCATCAGTAGCCATGGAGACGAGAGTTAATTGTCTTAGTACTTTCCAGTTCATCAGTTAATTGGTAGACAGTGAGGTTAAACCAGCACATGAAAGAATGTTCTGAGCTGGCCAGAGGGAATAGACATTCTGATTGTCAGAGGGATAGTAGGTTAGTTGATGGCATTACATAGACAGTACTGTAGATAGTGGCAAAGTCAGAGAGCAATTTTTGCACATAAAAGCTTTGGTAGGGTTATACTGTCACAAAGTGTTTTATCGATCTACACCAGAAATATACAAAACATATTTTTCAATCAGAAGGTCCTTGTATGAATCGTGTTCTTACCTGGGCTCTATAGCCCATGGTCATGCCATTTATAGGAGGATTTTATAGCCCTTCTTACACATGGCTGTGATGGTCTGTAGTGGATGAAGTAAAGCTAACTGGGGTCATTATACTGGATGGAATGGTTAAAGAGGAGAGGTAGAACAACATTTCTCTAAAAGAATAGCTGCATCTCCTGTTATGGATGGTGCTGGAGGAAGGATATTTTATTCATTCCCAAATCACTCTCCGACCATCCATACCCAGATTTAGCCTTCTCTATTAAAGTGTTATCATCACTGCGCAAGAGTCCTTCACATAGGCCTGCAGTAGTGTGTGTGTGTTATAGTGTTGCACAGTATACCAAAACGTTGGTTTGGTACTAGAATTTTGGTTACTTTCGGTACCTCTATCAAATGTGTCTCACGTTGTCTGCTGATTGTGAAAGGATCAAGCCTGTCAATCAGCGCAGCCTATGTCCTCGTATAGCACGAGGGCACCGTGCCTGCTCCGTGTCTGCTCCACTTAAGCCAGGCATACACTGCCCGATTTATCTGTCCCCGGCAAGTTTTTGAGAAATCAGAGACAAAATCCCAATGTCGTTGCCTACTCGCGGTGCGCGACTATCACTGATGCTCATTTAATGTGAGCAGGTCAGAGACGTAATCTAAGGGCTACCGATCCCGTCTTTGAGCTGTCCCAGACGTCCTGATATTATACAACATGTTTTGACTTTATCAGCACAAAATCTGCAATGCTCTTGTAGTTTGAGATGTGCAACGACAGGTTTTGAAAACAGCGATCACCAATAACAGCTCGCCAAAGAAGAAGCCAGTATCGCATCACCCAGAATGTGTAGACTCTCGAGCAGGAGCAATGACTACTACTAGTATGCTTTTGTACTTGCCTTTAACCAAAGCCAAAGTGTCAAATCGTTACAGCTCTAAAGTGCACAGGCAATGTTATACAGTTCAAAATGTATTGGCTACAAAGTTTAGTGTGGGCAACACTACGTTGGCAAGACACAAATCTACAGGAAAGACGGTTGTTGAGAGGTTCAGCGATGTTAGGATTTTGAAAGTTGTGTCGTGGACGCCTGGCATTACAGCTGAAGCTAGCTAACTTCAATTCAAAACCCTAGTACTCCGTTTGTGCTAATATGCAAACCATAACACAACATGTTCAGATTTCAAAGCTGATTGTTACCAAAAACCATACAGTCATTGCCAAAAACGTTATTAATTCACTTCGTCTCCCTCGCCTCAGTCATGTCTCTCCTGTCTCTCTCACTGTGTGTGTGAATGATGTCATTAGGCAGTGTTGCCAACTCCTCAGTAAGGAAAGTAGCTATTGGCTGTCCTAAAAGTCGCTAGAAGTCGCTAAATTACGTCATCACCTAATTTGCATAATTGGCCATGTGCATGTAATTGTGATGGAAGCTGTAGGAGAGAGGAATAACGTCGTGGGAGAGACAAAAAGTGTGTAAAAAACACCCTAAATATGTTTAGAACTACAAATGAACTTTCTTCTGTCGATTCTTGTTTTTTAAAAATGGTTTACATTTACATCCCACCCTGAATGTAAGCCAGGCCGGGATCAGCCAGCGGCGGCTTCCCGCATGCGCGATTCATTTGCAGTCTGGACGCGGAGGGGTGAACATCTCCTGCTCTGACTGCAGCTGGGAGGGACTGCTGCGCAAGGACTGGGCCGCCTGTGAGTGCTTTGGGACGGGGGTGGGGCCCACGGCAGCACCCGCTGCTCGTTGAGAAGAGTAAGAACGATACGTGCTTTCACGCCAGAGTCTCCAAAAGTCTCCAATAACACCAGAAAAAGTTGCTAGATTTGTCGCTAGTCGCTTTTTTGAAAATGTGTCGCTAGAGGGGTCTGAATAATCGCTGAATATAGCGACAAAGTCGCTAAATTGGCAACACTGTCATTAGGTCTTAAAAAGACAGCACACACTTTTATAAAATAAGAAATGTGCTTATTCTATGCAAAAGTTGTTGATCAGTACAATAAAATAATAATGTAATAATGTATTACATTCGTGAAGCCCTTTTCATTATACAAGAATAATCTCAAAGTGCATAAAATAACATTTAAAATAGAAAATAGTTTAAAAAGCAAAACAAATATACCTAACCATATCATGAAGCAACTATCAAAGTCTAGTAGGAAGGGTATGCCAGCTGATAGAGATTAGTTTTAAGGCCTGCTTTAAAAGCTCCAACAGTCTGAACAGCCCTGACATTATCTGGAACGAAGTTCCATGGGCATGGTGCGTTGGAAGAAAAGGCACGGTCTCCCATTGTGCACGCCTGGTCCTGGGGGCATGGAAGAGTTTGTCGTCGCAACGTAGGTTGCGTGGAGGTTCATAGGGGGAGAGTAGGTCTGACAGGTAGGCGGGTAGGCGGGTCTGATGCCATTTAGGGCTTTGTAGATGAGGAGGATCATTTAATTAATTTTTTGAGGAACAGGTAGCCAATAGAGATCAGCAAGGATGGGGGTGATGTGGGCAGACTTCTTTGTTTGTGTCAGAATTTTTGCGGCACTGTTTTGGATGAGCTGTAGTTTATGAATTGAATTTGCATGCAGGCCCCCAAGTACAGCGTTGCTATAATCCATTCTGGAGAAAATATATGCATGGATTAGCTTTTCTGTGTCAATAAAAAGTATGTCCAAAATGGAAGGGAAGCCAATTGTTTTTCATCTGTAGCCCAATGAAATCAGCCAAAACAAGCTCAATAACCCAATGCATGCACACACTGCTATTGAATGTGCATTCACCTTTATTGTGAAAACATTTTCACAATACAGTTTTCTCTTGAACATTTATTGAACAAGGACATTTTGCTTCAACATTTATTCATTTATTTATTGAATATTTAGGACTATTGAACAGTAGCCTAATGTTTTGTAGAAACACATTTGAAACAAGAGCCTAAATTGACACCTTGCACATGCTTTTGTGAAAAATGTTTACCATAATTACAATGAATTACCAAAATTAATGAATTTTCCAGTAACTTTGGTAAATTACCGGTAGCTTTGAAACCTCACTAAGGCCTATTGAACAGTAGCCTATCATTTTTCAGAAACAAAACAAAATGTGAAACAATAAATGGACATCTTGTAGGCCGACTGCCTGTGTGGGTTAATAGCCTATACTGGCATATGAATGACATAAAACATTGAATTAAATTAAAAATAGGCTTAGAAAAGAAATAGGCTATAACAAAACATAAAGTTTAGAAAATCTAAGGACCCACTGTCCAGTTATGAGGCTATAATTGCATACTTTGTCTTCCCTTTTTTTGCAGCACTGAATCGTGTCCACTGTGCCAGGTTTCAGGTTTCAGTCGGTTGCGACTGAATTCAACAACGCGCCCGGCAATGCTGAAGGTGTACATGTGTGTTTATGCACACAGAGAGCGTCTGCGAGCTTGCTAACTATGGTCCCCATACACAAAGTTAACTTTATTCTGTTTCCTATGTTTATTTGTTTGCAAGAATACAGTAGCTGTTAAACTGAATTTATGATTGGAAGCACCCACACACTTACTTAGAGAAAGAGGAAGTAGGAAACCAACTCTGTGGCATTGAGCCTCTTGTAAAATGCCTGAGCATTGCCAGAGCGTTGGAATATTGCTTTGTTGTTGTGGAGGGGACGCTTTTAAAGTTTAGTGTCTTGTAAGCAGGCATTATGAAAACAAATAGTTCAATATCAGCGTGAGAGCATAAACGTTGCTAATGAGGCCTTTGGGAAGCGTTAGGTGCAGACAGCTTCACAATAGCGCAGTGTTATGTGTGGATTTAGGTCATTGCTTTGTGTTGTGCCCCTGTCTCGACCTAGCGCTCCAAGCTCCCAGCTCCCTCTCATGGTTATTATTCAGTGTGAGGACGACCTTACTAAAATGTTTTCTATCAAATCACCAATCCACCCATAAGCTGACTGCTGGAGCTGGACAAACTGTCAATCTGTTTATCTGGGTCTCAGTTGATCTCTGTGTAGCAGATATGGGAGAGTTTATGATCTAGCTGCCACTTTGTTATTTAGTGGTGAGTTTGCCTTGCTCAGGCAGTAGGGAGGAGAAGGGGAGAGTGGGATATGGGGTGAGAGCTGGGAGAGTAGAGACCGAGAGAGGGAAAGAGCTGGGAGAGAGGGGGCAAGAGCTGAGAGAGGAGAAGAGGGGGAGATATATTTCCCATGGTAAAGTATGTGTTGGTTGGCCTGTTCACCAATGATGGAACTGTCCTCTCTGCACACTATTCATGTCTCAGTCTCTCACACATAAACTTGCACAGGGACGGCAGGTAGCACAGGGGTGGCAGGTAGCACAGGGGCAGTAGGTAGCCAAGCGGTTAGAGAGGTGAGCCAGCAACCAGAGGGTTGCCTGTTAAAATCCCCGGTCTGACGGGTAAAATCTGACAGGAAGTGAGCTGGCAAGTGGAGGATTGCTGGTATATGTACAGTTGACTAATAATGTGATCTTAGTCTTAAAGGGATAGTTCATCCAAGTTACAAAATGACACATTGGTTTCCTTACCCTGTAAGCAAGGTATGACAGCAATCCATGCTTTGGCTTAGTTTCCCTGGCACTGTTTCCACGTGCTAACATTTTGGCATTTGTGGCATAAATCCCATTCAAGTCATGGGACCGATATTATAATTTTTTGTGCATCCAGGGAAATGGATTGCTGTCATACCTTGTCCATAGACTGCTTACAGGGTAAGGAAACCAACACGTGATTTAGTAATTTGCGTGAACTATCACTTTAATCACACACACACACTTTCTCTGCAGTTACATTTACATGGACTTTATGACTTTATTTCATTATTGCCATGAACGAATTGTCATCTTTGCCATCATCAATCTTTAAGTCATCATCATGTCATTATCATCATAATATGTTTAAATGCTTTCTTTTCCTCAGTTTTCTCTTTCCTAGAAATGAAAGGCAAGCAAGCTGCTTGCATGGAGACATCAGACTGGCTGATATTGGATTAAGCTCAGAGGGTTTCTATTTAGGGCCTGACTGGAGAGTTGATACACTACTTTGTGGTTGTGTCCCTTGGAAGGAACACTGCTGTTATAGGGAGAGAGAGCTGTGTTCTATTTCTGCCTGTGGTGTTGGAGACAACTGAGGCAGTAGCAGTAGCAACACTGGGTTGCCCATGCTATCACAGGATTTTTCAACATCACTGCACTGGATTGGACTCACACAAAGCGCTCACTTTATCAGTCCTTCTGATGTACAGTGTGGTATAATTGTCTATTGGGCATGGCTAAGGAAGCTAAGCGAGGGAAGAGGAACTAATAATTAATATATCTTAGGGTTGCAAAGGGAGAGTATAATACTGGTAACTTTGTAAGTTTACCAGTAAACTGCCAGAATTTTCATAACATGTAAAATATATCAAACAATAAAATAAGATGATTTTGAAATAAATCATTTAAAGACCAAGCTGTAAAACATTATCCTAAATACAACCCATCAATTTAGTGAATACTGTTTGTGTTTAATATGAGGGTTTCAGCATGAAATATCCTTCATATTTGTACACATATGTCAATAGTTGGAATAGTTGCAGAGTTAATTGAAAATTATGCCATTGTTGATTTGGAGCTTTTTTCGTTAATTAGGCTATTTTCTCTTTAACCATATGGTCTATCCACTAGAAACTCTTGAACACAGCTGTAAAGATTAAGAAAAAATTATTAACACATTTTAAAAAAGTTATTCAACTATAAATTACCAAAGTTACCATAGATTGCCATAGATTACCTGTTAATTACCAAAATTACTGAACATTGGTAAATTACTGGTGGTTTTGCAACCCTAATCGAGCTACAGTACATCTAGCAACATCTATCTCGACCTAGACGGGTGTTTTGCTGAGTGGTAAAGGGTAGAGAAGTAGGTCATTCATAAGATGTTTGCCTGCAGGGTAAAGCATACCGAATCTCAGCGCAAGTTTTTACTCAAATCCCAAAAGCCCCTCAGGTTCTTGCCTCTGCTCCAGCCGATGAAATCATGATCAGTGTTAAAAGCTTTTATCTAACAGCCCTGCAAAAAAAAGTGTGATGGCTCCGCACTCAAAAAGATGTCGCATAAAGTTGACTTCATTTAAAAAATGTGTTATTATTTTCACTGCATCAGGGAAATGTATGTGTACACTATCCCTGATGCAGTGAAAATAAAAATAAAAATCTTTATCTTTTTGAGTGCAGACCAATCACACCTTTTGCTTATCTGAACTTACGGGTTTTACGCACCAACCAAACTTCTGGGAGAGCGTGATGGTCCCCTTTTGATTAGCTAAAAGCCCTGCGAAACACCCAGGAGTTTGGCCTCTCTCTCACAGCTCTCGTCTCCCCCTCCATTCTACCACTCCACACAGGATGCCATTTAACTCAGTCAATAGTTCAGAATTTAATATAGAGCCCTTTGGAATCCCCAACAGAAATGAGTGGTGAGTGAAATGCAGAGATTTAACCATTCAGTGTTTCATTATTTTCATTATTTCCTCACAGAGAGTGTAATTGAGGCAAAGTAATTGAGAAATGTCGATTCAGGGAATTAAAACAGTGTGAAGATATGAGTCTTTAAAAGTCGCCAAGCTGTAGATTAGAATCTAGAGGCCTTTTCACACTACTGAGCCAAACCGAGCCGAGACAAACTGTACTAAGATGGTCAGAGTACACATCCATCCACCATAGTTGCTGAACCGTGCTGAAAGGAACATTTTAAAGCACAGTTTAGGTTTTAAAGATATTTGTGTTGTCATGTCTATGGGATTCAGATCTATGTTACTGAAGGAATTCAAGGAAACACAACAGCAAGAGACAAGTAAAATGAGCTATTTGAGAGTATTTCATGTCGGTGAATAAATATTTTCTGCACATCCTCTGTTCAGAGGCGCTGTCAAGGATTATTCTCTGGCACATCAGAGTGCACTCAGCAACTAATCATTTTTACTGTGGAAGATGTAAGTGCCTTCTCTTGCCTGTCACTAATAATTTGAATGTCAACTGTCAAACACCCATGGTGTTGTTCCTAAGTCAAATTTGAAAAGTCATGTTTTTGGGGGAAACCGCGGCTGCTTTTTTTCAACACTGAATGCTGCTTAACAAAAGTGTGGAGCAAAGCAGTCAATTCTCTGAGGTGCCATGTGGAAATGTGGATTTTACGGAAATTATTATGCATTAGTAATAAAAAATAGAGTTGGCTTTACGCTGAGAAATACAGTATTTCTATGGAGATAGTGGTTCTTGCCTAGCAATTTGTTGGGTTTATTTTCAGAAATATTACAAGCCATCCTTTCAATTGGTGTATAAAAAAAACAAATCCAATACTTTATAATCTGTTGTCATGTATGTATTCTTTATATAACCAGGGACGTCCCATTCAAATAGAAATCCTCCTTACGAAGAAGACATGCTCCATTTAAGTACCAATCACCAAAGCATGTAACGACCACAGCTCTAAGTCATTATAACAATACTATTTTAAGTTTTACAATTCTAAATGTTTCTTGAATTGAGTAGTTCTTGTGCGGTTACATGCACACACACAGACACACACACACACACACACACACAGACACACGCAAACTCATAGATCTGTCTTCTTCTTTCCTCCAGCGAGGTCGTCCTCTCCAACATCAACCACAGCCTGTCTGGCATCTGGGAGTGCCAGGTGACCAGTTCCCGTGGCAACATGTCCAAACAGATGGAGATCCTTGTGTTGGAGACGTCAGCACCCTACTGCTCAGCAGACAGGGTCAACAGCAACAAGGGAGACTTCAGGTGGGTGCTCTAACCAGACCAGACAGAAGGATCTTTTCAGGTCAAGACTAAATGACAAGGTCAAAGGTCAGCTACAGTGCAACAAGGTAGCCTAAAACATGTCTGACCTCATGTTGGCATTCAAGAAGTCAGTGTTTTGAGAATGTGAAATGTGAAAGCCCAATGGTTCACTAAACTCAGCTCTGCTGAAGTAGGAAGTTACTATAGAATATTAGATAACAAAGAAAATGTAAACAGTGAAATGAAAAACATTTCCAAGGAATGTACAGTGGGGGAAAAAAATATTTAGTCAACCACCAATTGTGCAAGTTCTCCCACTTAAAAAGATGAGAGAGGCCTGTAATTTTCATCATAGGTACACGTCAACTATGACAGACAAAATGAGAAAAAAAATCCAGAAAATCACATTGTAGGATTTTTAATGAATTTATTTGCAAATTATGGTGGAAAATAAGTATTTGGTCAATAACAAAAGTTTCTCAATACTTTGTTATATACCCTTTGTTGTCAATGACACAGGTCAAACGTTTTCTGTAAGTCTTCACAAGGTTTTCACACACTGTTGCTGGTATTTTGGCCCATTCCTCCATGCAGATCTCCTCTAGAGCAGTGATGTTTTGGGGCTGTCGCTGGGCAACACAGACTTTCAACTCCCTCCAAAGATTTTCTATGGGGTTGAGACCTGGAGACTGGCTAGGCCACTCCAGGACCTTGAAATGCTTCTTACGAAGCCCCTCCTTTGTTGCCCGGGCGGTGTGTTTGGGATCATTGTCATGCTGAAAGACCCAGCCACGTTTCATTTTCAATGCCCTTGCTGATGGAAGGAGGTTTTCACTCAAAATCTCACGATACATGGCCCCATTAATTCTTTCCTTTACACGGATCAGTCGTCCTGGTCCCTTTGCAGAAAAACAGCCCCAAAGCATGATGTTTCCACCCCCATGCTTCACAGTAGGTATGGTGGTTCTTTTGGATGCAACTCAGCATTCTTTGTCCTCCAAACACGACGACTTGAGTTTTTTACCAAAAAGTTCTATTTTGGTTTCATCTGACCATATGACATTCTCCCAATCCTCTTCTGGATCATCCAAATGCACTCTAGCAAACTTCAGACGGGCCTGGACATGTTTACATTTACATTTTACATTTTAGTCATTTAGCAGACGCTCTTATCCAGAGCGACTTACAGTTAGTGAATATTATTTTTATTTTATTTTTTATACTGGCCCCCCGTGGGAAACGAACCCACAACCCTGGCGTTGCAAACGCCATGCTCTATCAACTGAGCTACATCCCTGCCGGCCATTCCCTCCCCTACCCTGGACGACGCTGGGCCAATTGTGCGCCGCCCATGAGTCTCCCGGTCGCGGCCGGCTGCGACAGAGCCTGGATTCGAACCAGGATCTCTAGTGGCACAGTTAGCACTGCGATGCAGTGCCTTAGACCACTGCGCCACTCAGGCCACATGTACTGGCTTAAGCAGGGGGACACGTCTGGCACTGCAGGATTTGAGACCCTGGCGGCGTAGTGTGTTACTGATGGTAGGCTTTGTAACTTTGGTCCCAGCTCTCTGCAGGTCATTCGCTAGGTCCCTCCGTGTGGTTCTGGGATTTTTGCTCACCGTTCTTGTAATCATTTTGACCCCACGGGGTGAGATCTTGCGTGGAGCCCCAGATCGAGGGAGATTTCAGTGGTCTTGTATGTCTTCCATTTCCTAATAATTGCTCCCACAGTTGATTTCTTCAAACCAAGCTGCTTACCTATTGCAGATTCAGTCTTCCCAGCCTGGTGCAGGTCTACAATTTTGTTTCTGGTGTCCTTTGACAGCTCTTTGGTCTTGGCCATAGTGGAGTTTGGAGTGTGACTGTTTGAGGTTGTGGACAGGTGTCTTTTATACTGATAACAAGTTCAAACAGGTGCCATTAATACAGGTAACGAGTGGAGGACAGAGGAGCCTCTTAAAGAAGAAGTTACAGGTCTGTGAGAGCCAGAAATCTTGCTTGTTTGTAGGTGACCAAATACTTATTTTCCACCATAATTTGCAAATAAATTCATAAAAAATCCTACAATGTGATTTTCTGGATTTTCTTTTCTCAATTTGTCTGTCATAGTTGACGTGTACCTATGATGAAAATTACAGGCCTCTCTCATCTTTATAAGTGGGAGAACTTGCACAATTGGTGGCTGACTAAATACTTTTTTCCCCCACTGTAAGTACTGTTTAGCTAGCAATTATCCCCACGCATTAGGAAGCCATGTGTGTCATATCAATCACCAAAATGCTAATAAGTCTGTACTCCAGGTTTACAGTAGCTTGCGAAAGTATTCACCCCTTTGGCATTTTTTCTATTTTGTTGCCTTACTACCTGGAATTAAAATTGATTTTTGGGGGATTTGTATAATTTGATTTACACAACATGCCTACCACTTTGAAGAAGTGAAAAAAAAAAAAAAAACTTGAGCGTGCATAACTATTCACCCCCCCCCCCCCCCAAAGTCAATACTTTGTAGAGCCACCTTTTTCAGCAATTACAGCTGCAAGTCTCTTGGGGTATGTCTCTATAAGCTTGGCACATCTAGCCACTGGGAATTTTGCCCATTCTTCAAGGCAAAACTGCTCCAGCTCCTTCAAGTTGGATGGGTTCCGCTGGTGTACAGCAATTTTTAAGTCATACCACAGATTCTCAATTGGATTGAGGTCTGGGCTTTGACTAGGCTATTCCAAGACATTTAAATGTTTCCCCTTAAACCACTCAAGTGTTGCTTTAGCAGTATGCTTAGCGTCATTGTCCTGCTGGAAGGTGAACCTCCGTCCCAGTCTCAAATCTCTGGAATACTGAAACAGGTTTCCCTCAAGAATGTCCTCACAGCATGATGCTTCCACCACCATGCTTCACTGTGGGGATGGTGTTCTCGGGGTGATGAGAGGTGTTGGGTTTGCGCCAGACATAGCGTTTTCCTCGATGGCCAAAAAGCTCAATTTTAGTCTCATCTGACCAGAGTACCTTCTTCCATATGTTTGGGGAGTGTCCCACATGGCTTTTGGCGAACACCAAACGTGTTTGCTTATTTTTTTCTTTAAGCAATGGCTTTTTTCTGGCCACTCTTCCGTAAAGCCCAGCTCTGTGGAGTGTATAGTTTAAAGTGGTCCTATGGACAGATACTCCAATCTCCGCTGTGGAGCTATGCAGCTCCTTCAGGGTTATCTTTGGTCTCTTTGTTGCCTCTCTGATTAATGCCCTCCTTGCCTGGTCTGTGAGTTTTGGTGGGCGGCCCTCTCTTGGCAGGTTTGTTGTGGTGCCATATTCTTTAAATTTTTTAATAATGGATTTAATGGTGCTCCGTGGGATGTTAAAAGTTTGTGATATTTTCTGATCTGTACTTCTCCACAACTTTGTCCCTGACCTGTTTGAAGAGCTCCTTGGTCTTCATTGTGCCGCTTGCTTGGTGGTGCCCCTTGCTTAGTGGTGTTGCAGACTCTGGGGCCTTTCAGAACAGGTGTATATATACTGAGATCATGTGACAGATCATGTGACACTTAGATTGCACACAGGTGGACTTTATTTAACTAATTATGTGACTTCTGAAGGTAGTTGGTTGCACCAGATCTTATTTAGGGGCTTCATAGCAAAGGGGTGAATACATATGCATGCACCACTTTTCCGTTATTTATTTGATGGTATTTTTTAAAACAAGTTATTTTTTTCATTTCACTTCACCAATTTGGACTATTTTGTGTATGTCCATTACATGAGATCAAAATAGAAATCAATTTAAATTACAGGTTGTAATGCAACAAAATAGGAAAAATGCCAAGGGCGATGAATACTTTTGCAAGGCACTGTATACTATAGCTTTCTATAAAACATTCCAATTAGTTTCTGACTGGCATTTTCCATTCCAGCTAAAGCTTTATGAGTTGAAAAGCTAACAGGCTCTCCACGAGACCTGGGTTCAAATACTTTGAGCATTTGCTTCAGTCGGCCTGGAGTGCCAGATGGGAGGATTTACCATTTTGGGACTGTTCAATTGGTTCCATCGCATCAGGCAAGCTCAATCAAGCACAGAAATTATTGCAGATAATATTTGAACCCAGGTTTGCTTTCCACCTCTCCCTCTGTCTCCGTCCCTGTCCATCTGGAAGTCTTGAGAAGTTGTCTGTTTTTCTCCTGTCAGTCCTGTTTCCGTGTATGCTCCATTGTTGTCGTGAATTGCTCGTGTACTTTACAACACACTTCCAGTGCAGCGAGCAGAGAGGCTTTGTTTCTGCTCAGCAGAGGCGTAATGGGCTGGAAAATGAGACACTTTTTTGGGGTTGGGGAATTAGTGCCATACATTACGAAGTAGCCGGTGCCATGATGACAGGGGGAGAAAGCTGGACAGGTTCCTCTGAACACAACAACAGATTTATCCTCAGTCTCACCTCAATTTACTCCCTTTGTTTCACGTTATGAAAAATTGCCAAAATGACATTGTTGAAATGAAACAAGCTTGTTTTCATTGGTATTTTTTAGGGTATTTTCAGTTATAACATAGTAATGCGACATAATAACAAGGCAAAGTGTCACATCTATGTAGTGTAATCGGGGAATCAAGGCTTATTGTGGATCATGGTGACAATGATATTGATACCATATTTTGTGACAGGTGGCCAAAGACCCTGGCAGGGATACTGGCCTTCCTGCCCTGTGCTCCATCCACATTTGGCTCTGCCCCTCACCCTTCTGGTGCCGCTTCACACCACCTCACTCAGAGGGAGAAGAAGGCCTGGCGACGCTGTGACCGGGCAGGCCGGTGGGCAGAGGACGACTATACCCAGTGCCCGTATGCCAGCGAGGTGACTCGCGTACTGCACGAGCTCACCCAGGTAGGACTGCTTTCTCACTAGCAGAGACAACGCGAGACAAGGGGGTCTAAAACGGAATCATCTGAATCGTTAACTATTTTTGTATTTTAGGTCAATATCGGCTTTCTAGGAAAATCAAACTGTTATTTATACCTCGGGGGAACAAGAGATTTTGCAGTTTCTACTTACAAGCAGTAGGGAATTTTTATCATAGGGGCGGAACTAAACAAAATCGGGATTTTTTAAGTAATAATCATTTTATTGCAACTCTTTTGTTAACTATTTTGTACGAACTTTGTTTCATGAGATCATATATCTTGACCAGGTTTGCCAATGCACAGGATTTGACTTCCTACAGACCTTCTCCAGATCTTTCAGGTTTCGGGGCTGTCGCTGGGCAATACGGACTTTCAGCTCCCTCCAAAGATGTTCTATTGGGTTCAGGTCTGGAGACTGGCTAGGCCACTCCAGGACCTTGAGATGCTTCTTACGGAGCCACTCCTTAGTTGTCCTGGCTGTGTGTTTGGGTTTGTTGTCATGCTGGAAGACCCAGCCACAACCCATCTTCAAAGCTCTTACTGAGGGAAGGGGGTTGTTGGCCAAGATCTCGCGATACATGGCCCCATCCATCCTCCCCTCAATACGGTGCAGTTGTCCTGTCCCCTTAGCAGAAAAGCATCCCCAAAGAATGATGTTTCCACCTCCATGCTTCACGGTTGGGACGGTGTTCTTGGGGTTGTACTCATCCTTCTTCTTCCTCCAAACACGGCGAGTGGAGTTTAGACCAAAAAGCTCTATTTTTGTCTCATCAGACCACATGACCTTCTCCCATTCCTCCTCTGAATCATCCAGATGGTCATTGGCAAACTTCAGTCGGGCGTGGACATACGCTGGCTTGAGCAGGGGGACCTTGCGTGCGCTGCAGGATTTTAATCCATGACGGCGTAGTGTGTTACTAATGGTTTTCTTTGAGACTGTGGTCCCAGCTCTCTTCAGGTCATTGACCAGGTCCTGCCGTGTAGTTCTGGGCTGATCCCTCACCTTCCTCATGATCATTGATGCCCCACGAGGTGAGATCTTGCATGGAGCCCCAGACCGAGGGTGATTGACCGTCATCTTGAACTTCTTCCATTTTCTAATAATTGCGCCAACAATTGTTGCCTTCTCACCAAGCTGCTTGCCTATTGTCCTGTAGCCCATCCCAGCCTTGTGCAGGTCTACAATTTTATCCCTGATGTCCTTACACAGCTTTCTAGTCTTGGCCATTGTGGAGAGGTTGGAGTCTGTTTGATTGAGTGTGTGGACATGTGTCTTTTATACAGGTAACGAGTTCAAACAGGTGCAGTTAATACAGGTAATGAGTGGAGAACAGGAGTGCTTCTTAAAGAAAAACGAACAGGTCTGTGAGAGCCGGAATTCTTACTGGTTGGTAGGTGATCAAATACTTATGTCATGCAATAAAATGCAAATTAATTATAAAAAAATCATACAATGTGATTTTCTGGATTTTTGTTTTAGATTCCGTCTCTCACAGTTGAAGTGTACCTATGATAAAAATTACAGACCTCTACATGCTTTGTAAGTAGGAAAACCTGCAAAATCGGCAGTGTATCAAATACTTGTTCTCCCCACTGTATGAAATGCATCTGTTTAAATCCAAGTGATCTAGCCTCTTCTAACCCAATGACTGTTTCTATTTCCAGATGACCATCAACACCAGTAATCCCCAGCCGTTAGCCCAGCAGCTGGTAGCCTTCACCAGCAGGGCAGGGGACTTCAGCGATGTGATGGACGTCATCTTTGTCACACACCTGGTTGAGAGGCTGACTCGCCTTGTGGACCAGCGTAGAGAAGTATGTATGATAGCAGCACTTAGCTGCTGCTCACACACACACACAAACACATGCGTGCTTGTGCAAAAACACACACACAGCATTTACCCTCAGCATCCATGCAGCAGTCAATTTTTTGGTAAATCAACAGTTCCCAGCGGGCTTGCAAATTTGACCAATCACCGCACTATTTCTGCATAAAACTGTCAAATCAGTACAAAAAGAGGGCTCGCAATTTCAACCAATCACCGCACATTTAACGCATAATATGGTTCAATCAAGCCACACGCCAACAAACCTTTTCCCTCGTCAATGCATTTTCCTGACAAATTGGACAAAATCATTGCATATTGCCATGTATAATGTCAGAATTCCTGCAGCAAAATCAAGCATTTTTGCTTGCAAATGTCATAAAAGAATCCCTGCGAAATCCTGGAGGGACTGAATAAAGAACCCCCAACTGTTTTCTTTGGATGAACTGTTTATAGTCCAATTAAAGGCACAAATAAGTGGATGTCTCTTTTTGCTCCGGTAGCTGGCTAGTCTACTCGACTCCAGCTCCATAAATGCTAGACTATGGGTGCTAATTTCCCTGAGATTTACATTTTAGTCATTTAGCAGACGCTCTTATCCAGAGCGACTTACAGGAGCAATTAGGGTTAAGTGCCTTGCTCAAGGGCACAGACAGATTTTTCACCTAGTCGGCTCGGGGATTATAACCAGCGACCTTTCGGTTACTGGCACAACGCTCTTAACCACTAAGCTACCTGCCGAGATGTCATCAGTTCAGCAATTTAGTAACATGCAATTTGAGGGGAAACTTAACATATAGTTAGCTGCTATTCCTGACCTGGTATTATTTAAGCCTGTGAGATGTGAGTGCTTTTCAGTGTTTTGAAAGCAGGGATTTGCAAGAATAGACTTCAGGCTTCCTGTATGAAACTGTTCAGATGACAGCTTAAATCAGGGGTGTCAAACTCATTCCATGAAGGGCCTAGTGTGATGCGTGTGATAGAAGGAGTAATACGAGTAATATGCATCCAAAGAGTTTATTCCATCGATAAACAGTTGCGCAAGCATGCGACAACAAAACTCAGGCACAGGAGAAATATCTACCCTGGCAACAACAAGGTAAGGGTAGTTCAACCGAGCTACACACAGCTCACTACAAACAATCACCCACACAGACAAGGAAGCAGAGGGAACACTTATACAATGACTAATTGGGGATAAGAACCAGGTGTGTGTGATTATATAGACAAGACAAGTGGACTGATGATAAATGGATCGGCAGCAGCTAGTAAGCCGGTGACGACAAACGCTGAAACCTGCTCGAACAAGGAGGGGAGGCAGCCTTGGCGGAAGTCGTGACAGTACCCCCCCCCCCCTTGACTCGCGGCTCCAGCAGCGCGCCCCGACCCCGGCCTCGGGGACAGCCAGGAAGATGCAGAGCAGGGCGAGCTAGATGGCGACGGTGGAAATCCCGTAACATGGAGGGATCGAGGATATCCCTCACCGGGACCCAGCACCGTTCCTCCGGACCGTACCCCTCCCACTCCACGAGGTACTGAAGGCCCCCCACCCGACACCTCGAATCCAGGATGGAACGGACCGAGTATGCCGGGGCCCCCTCAATGTCCAGAGGAGGTGGAGGGACCTTCCGCACCTCAGACTCCTGGAGTGGACCAGCTACCACCGTCCTGAGGAGAGACACATGAAATGAGGGGTTAATACGGTAATCAGGGGGAAGTAATAACCTATATGTGACCTCGTTGACTCTCCTCAGAACTTTGAACGGCCCCACAAACCGCGGGCTCAGCTTCAGGCAGGGCAGGCGGAGGGGCAGATTCCGGGTCGAGAGCCAGACCCGACCCGATCCCACGGTACAAAGACGGGGGGCCTCACTGCGGTTGCGGTCAGCGTTGGCCTTCTGACGACGCACGGCACATTGGAGGTGAACGTGGGCAGCATCCCACGTCTTCTCTGCACGCCGAAACCAGTCATCCACCGCAGGCTCTGGTGCTACGGTGCCAAAACCGGTTGGTAACCTAGAACACACTGGAAAGGCGTTAGGTTAGTGGAGGAGTGGCGGAGAGAGTTCTGGGCATATCCTGCCCATGGCAAGAACACCGACCACTCCCCTGGCCAGTCCTGGCAGTAGGACCGCAGGAACCTACCCACGTCCTGATTTACCCATTCCACCTGCCCATTACTCTCGGGGTGGAACCCAGACGTCAGGCTGACCGAGACCCCCAGACGTTCCATGAACGCCTTTCAGACTGTAGACGTGAACTGGGGACCTCGGTCAGACACTATATCCTCTGGTACCCCGTAGTGCTGGAAGACGTGAGTAAACAGGGCCTCCGCAGTCTGCAGGGCTGTGGGGAGACCGGGTAGAGGAAGGAGGCGGCAGGACTTTGAGAAGCGGTCCACAACATTTACATTTACGTCATTTAGCAGACGCTCTTATCCAGAGCGACTTACAAATAGGTGCATTCACCTTATAGGATGGTGGTGTTACCTTGGGAGAGGGGAAGATCAGTCAGAAAATAAATGCTAAGGTGAGACCATGGTCGTTGTGGAACTGGTAATGGTTGTAGCTTACCCGCTGGGAGGTGCCTAGGTGCCTTACTCTGGGCGCACACTGAGCAGGAGGAGATGTACACCCTCACGTCCTTAGCCAAGGTAGGCCACCAGTACTTTCCGCTCAGGCAGCGCACTGTCCGACCGATACCTGGGTGACCAGAGGAGGGTGACGTGTGTGCCCAGAAGATCAGACGATCACAGATAAGAGCAGGTATGTACTGCAGCCCAGCTGGACACTGCGGTGGCTATGGATCTGTGCGTAATGCCTGCTCTATATCCGCGTCCATCGCCCATACTATCGGTGCCACAATGCGGGAGGCCGGGAGTATGGGGGTGTGTCATACAGCCGGGACAGTGCGTCTGCCTTCACGTTCTTCGTACCCGGAATGTATGACAATGTAAAATCAAACGGGGTGAAGAATAGGACCCACCTGGCCTGGCGAGGATTCAGCCTCCTCGCTGCCCGAATGTACTCCAGGTTATGGTGGTCCATCCAGACGAGGAAAGGGTGTTTCGCCCCTTCGAGCCAATGCCTCCACACGGTCAAGGCTCGGACAACAGCCAACAGCTCCTGATCACCAACATCGTAGTTCTGCTCCGCCGGGCTGAGCTTCTTCGAGAAGAAGGCACAGGGGCGGAGCTTGGGTGGCGTGCCCGAGCGTTGGGATAGGACAGCGCCCATCCCTATCTCGGACGCATCCACCTCCACTACAAACGGTAGTGATGGATCGGGGTGGGCTAGGACCGGAGCTGAGGTGAACAGACCCCGCAGTCTCCTGAAGGCTAGATCCACCTCAGCAGACCAGCGGAGCCGGGACGGCCCACCCTTCAACAGGGATGTGATGGGAGCTGCGACCTTGCCAAAGCACCAGATAAACCTTCAATAGTAGTTGGCAAAGCCAAGGATTCGCTGCACCTCCTTAACCGTGGTTGGAGTTGGCCAATTACGCCCGGCTGAAATGCGATCTCCCTCCATCTCCACCCCTGAGGTGGAAATGCGGTATCCAAGGAAGGAGATGGACTGCTGGAAAAACATACACTTCTCTGCCTTAGCATAAAGGTCATTCTCCAACAGTCGGGCCAGCACCTTGTGAACCAGGGTCACATGCTCAGTGCGAGTAGCGGAATACACCAGGATGTCATCGATGTAGACCACTACACCGCGACCAAGCATGTCCCGAAACACATCGTTCACAAAGGACTGGAAATCGGAGGGAGCATTCATCAAACCATAGGGCATCACCAGGTATTCATAATGCCCCGTGATTGTGCTGAATGCTGCCTTCCACTCATCTCCCTCTTGGGTAAGCACCAGGTTGTACGCACTCCTGAGATCCAATTTGGTGAAGAAGCACGCCCCATGCATCGATTCAACCACTGAAGGAATGAGGGGGAGAGGATAACTAAATCTAATTGTCTCCCTGTTCAGTGGTCGATAATCAATGCATAGGCGCAGACCTCCGTCCTTTTTCTTCACAAAGAAGAAACTTGAGGAGGCGGGTGAAGTGGAGGGACGTATATACCCCTGACGCAGGGACTCAGTGACATATGTCTCCATAGCCACCGTTTCCGCCTGTGACGGTGTATATATGACTCCTGGGAGGTACAGCGTCTACCCTGAGGTTTATCGCGCAATCCCCCGCCCGTTGAGGTGGTAACTTAGTCGCCTGCGTTTTAGAGAACGCTTGCGCCAGATCACGGTATTCGGGAGGAATGCGCACGGGGGAGGTACTATCTGGACTTTCCACCGTGGTTGCACCAACATAAACGTCTAGACACCTACCCTGACACTCACGCGACCACCCCGTGAGAGGTGGGGTTGTGGAGTGCTAACCAAGGGATACCTAATACCACAGGGAAAGCAGGAGATTCAATAATAAAAAAAATCACCTGCTCAAAATTATTCTCCTGGGTGATCATGGTGACTGGTATAGTGACTTCCGTAACAAATCCAGACCCTAATGGTCGACTATCGAGTGCTCTGAGGAGACGTGGAATGGAGAGGGGAACCAATGAAATGCCTTGACGGCGTGCAAATTCCCTATACATAAAGTTCCCAGCTGCGCCTGAATCGACTAGCGCCTTACACTGGGGAACTACCATGTGATTGGTAAAGTGGATAGGTAGGGTACAGTGTGCAACAAAGGGCTCTGAACAAGTGTGGGTGTTCGATACCTGGGGTGATGCGTGAGTGCCCTGCCTGCCGCCTCCAGGCCCAAAAGAACGTTGCCTACGACGTGTGGTGGATTGTCCCTTCGTGCCACCAGAGTGGCACTGTCGCTGTCCTCCTCCGCTCTCTCGACCAGTGGCTCCACCCAGCTCCATCTGCTCGAGGTCCGAGTCTTCCGGGGTGGAAATGGGCAGACCCCTACCAGGACGTCCTCTGGCTACCAGCAGGTTGTCCAACTGAATGGCCATGTCCACCAGTTTATCGAAGGACAACATGGTGTCCCGGCAGGCTAGCTCCCGTCGGACGTCCTCCCGCAGATGGCACCGGAAATGGTCGATCAGGGCCCGCTTGTTCCACCCGGACACCGCTGCCAACTCCAACGCGAAGTCCTGCGCAGTCCTCGTCCCCTGCCTCAGGTGGACCAGTCGCTCACCCGCCTTTCGACCCTCGGGCGGGTGGTTGAATACCGCCCGAAAGAGGCAAGCGAACTCCCTGTAGTCCTCCAACGCGGCTCCTCCTTCGTTCCACACCGCGTTGGCCCACTCCAGGGCTTTCCCACAGAGGCAGGAAACGAGGACGGACACCTTCTTCCGCTCCGATGGTGCCGGCCTGATGCTGGTGAAGTAAAGCTCCAATTGGAGGAGGAATCCCTGGCACAGCACCGCTGTCCCCTCAAACGCCCGTGGTCGGGATATCTGGATCCCTCCTGGTGCTGGGGTGTAGGTGGCTGGTTCCGGTTGTCCAGCTGGTCTCGACAGATCGGGTCTGCTCCTCTCCAGGCGTTGGACAACCTGAAGAACCCGATCCATCGCTTCCCCCAAGCTGGCCAGCAACTCAGGCACAGGGGAAATATCTACCCTGGCAACAACAAGGTAAGGGTAGCTCAACCGAGCTACACACAGCTCACTACAAACAATCACCCACACAGACAAGGAAGCAGAGGGAACACTTATACAATGACTAATTGAGGATAAGAACCAGGTATGTGTGATTAATTAGACAAGACAAGTGGAAGTGATGATAAATAGATCGGCAGCACCTAGTAAGCCGGTGACGACGAACGCCAAAACCTGCCCGAACAAGGAGGGGAGGCAGCCTCGGCGGCAGTCGTGACACCTAGTGTCTGCTGGTTTTATTTTTTTCCTTTCAATTAAGACTGAGACAACCAGGTGAGGGGAGTTCCTTACTAATTAGAGATCTTAATTCATCAATCAAGGAAAAGGAGTGTAAACCCACAGACACTCGGCCCTCCGTGGAATGAGTTTGACATGTGGCTTAAATGGAGATTAACGGAACTCGATTTGAGAAACCGTACATTACGCTAAATGCACTCACAGTCTAGGAATAAAAAGAGTCTTAGCCTGCCACCGTCCAGGCTATACTTCAAATCAATTAGGAAAAGCTGTGTGTTTTCTGTCATCCTTCTTTTCATGCTTATGACAATCATGCACCTGAGAGCTAAGTTGATGAAGAGGTACTTCAGCTATCCCCCTAACCAATTCAAAATGTATTTCCTTTATACCAGGGGTCTTCAACCTATTCTTGCCTGGGGACCCCTGCCGAGGCAAACCGGAGGCCTAGGGATCCCCATCATATGTTAGCCCCCCCCCCCCCCCCCCCCCCCCAGAAAATCTGTTAGCCCCCCCAAAAAAAATATCAACGTCTTGTCTTAACATCAGGTGATGTAATCAAAATTTTAAAATGAATAGATTTAGTAGATTTTTGTATATATATATTTTTGTTAATAGCAATATTCATAAAAACATTGAAAGTAAAAATGACAGGGGGTTGCGGACCCCTGGTTGAATACCCCAGCTTTATACGATTGAAGGCAACCAGAGGGTCTGCACACAAAAGAGGTCAGAGTAGTATAGTGGAATTGTATTTCAATTTTTCTGTGAGAAGATCATTATTTGGAGCTCTCCTCAACACAGAGTCCTACTAGAAAACCTACCAATACATGGATCCCCAGATACACCTTGATCAATGCCAACCAAATCTCTCCACCGAACAGTTAGAATAAAGAAACTGTGAAATTGATGTAAATAGTTCAACTGTCATCACAATGAAGTGGTTATGCCCCATTGGAGACCCTAATCTAAATAAAATCTTTATATAATGAATAAAGTCACCATCACCACCCTCATCATTCCGTTTTGGGATAATACATGGCTTCTCTTTAGTAGATGTGATAGATGCTAATGGCAGATCTACTTTCTATCTTCCTGAATCCTGTAGCTAGGGGACTATATCTCTGACATAGCCAGTAACATGATGCTGGTGGAGGAACACATCCTGTGGATGGCTCAGAACGAGGCCAGGGCATGTACGCGCATCGTTCAGTGTGTGGAGCGCATCGCAGACTTGGCTCTCACCATAGACACGCAGGTCATTTCAAAGGTAGGTAAACAAACATCAAATGCACTCACATTTCTATCAACTATATGTTCACTCTTTAACCCCTTAAAAGGATACCTTAAAACGTGTTACCAAGATTGGTTTCTGAATCAAAGCTACAGTGAGCTCAGAAAGTATTGGGACAGGGACACCTTTTGTTGTTGTTGTTTTGGCTCTGTACTCCAGCGCTTTGGATTTGAAATCATACAATGACAATGAGTTTAAAGTGCAGACTGTCAGCTTTAATTTAAAATTACAGCACTGTAGTATCCCCCATTTTAGAGGACCACAAGTATTGGGAGAAATTCACGTATATGTACACTGCTCAAAAAAAATTAAGGGAACACTTAAACAACACAATGTAACTCCAAGTCAATCTCACTTCTGTGAAATCAAACTGTCCACTTAGGAAGCAACACTGATTGACAATACATTTCACATGCTGTTGTGCAAATTGAATAGACAACAGGTGGAAATTATAGGCAATTAGCAAGACACCCCCAATAAAGGACTGCTTTACAGGTGGTGACCACAGACCACTTCTCAGTTCCTATGCTTCCTGGCTGATGTTTTGGTCACTTTTGAATGCTGGCGGTGCTTTCACTCTAGTGGTAGCATGAGACGGAGTCTACAACCCACACAAGTGGCTCAGGTAGTGCAGCTCATCCAGGATGGCACATCAATGCGAGCTGTGGCAAGAAGGTTTGCTGTGTCTGTCAGCGTAGTGTCCAGAGCATGGAGGCGCTACCAGGAGACAGGTCAGTACATCAGGAGGCGTGGAGGAGGCCGTAGGAGGGCAACAACCCAGCAGCAGGACTGCTACCTCCGCCTTTGTGCAAGGAGGAGCAGGAGGAGCACTGCCAGAGCCCTGCAAAATGACCTCCAGCAGCCCACAAATGTGCATGTGTCTGCTCAAATGGTCAGAAACAGACTCCATGAGGGTGGTATGAGGGCCCGACGTCCACAGGTGGGGGTTGTGCTTACAGCCCAACACCGTGCAGGACGTTTGGCATTTGCCAGAGAACACCAAGATTGGCAAATTCGCCACTGGCGCCTTGTGCTCTTCACAGATGAAAGCAGGTTCACACTGAGCATGTGACAGACGTGACAGAGTCTGGAGACGCCGTGGAGAACGTTCTGCTGCCTGCAACATCCTCTAGGATGACCGGTTTGGCGGTGGGTCAGTCATGGTGTGGGGTGGCATTTCTTTGGGGGGCCGCACAGCCCTCCATGTGCTCGCCAGAGGTAGCCTGACTGCCATTAGGTACCGAGATGAGATCCTCAGACCCCTTGTGAGACCATATGCTGGTGCGGTTGGCCCTGGGTTCCTCCTAATGCAAGACAATGCTAGACCTCATATGGCTGGAGTGTGTCAGCAGTTCCTGCAAGAGGAAGGCATTGATGCTATGGACTGGCCCGCCCGTTCCCCAGACCTGAATCCAATTGAGCACATCTGGGACATCATGTCTCGCTCCATCCACCCAACGCCACGTTGCACCACAGACTGTTCAGGAGTTGGCGTATGCTTTAGTCCAGGTCTGGGAGGAGATCCCTCAGGAGACCATCCGCCACCTCATCAGGAGCATGCCCAGGCGTTGTAGGGAGGTCATACAGGCACGTGGAGGCCACACACACTACTGAGCCTCATTTGACTTGTTTTAAGGACATTACATCAAAGTTGGATCAGCCTGTAGTGTGGTTTTCCACTATAATTTTGAGGGTGACTCCAAATCCAGACCTCCATGGGTTGATACATTTGATTTCCATTGATAATTTCTGTGTGATTTTGTTGTCAGCACATTCAACTATGTAAAGAAAAAAGTATTTAATAAGATTATTTCATTCATTCAGATCTAGGATGTGTTATTTTAGTGTTCCCTTTATTTTTTTGAGCAGTGTATATTAAAAGTAGTAAAAAGTTAAGTATTAAGTCCCATATTCATAGCACGGAATGACTACATCAAGCGTGTGACTCTACACGTTTGTTTGATGCATTTGCTGTTTGTTTTGGTTGTGTTTCATGTTATTTTGTGCCCAATAGAAACAAATGATAAATAATGTATTGTGTCATTTTGGAGTCACTTTTATTGTACATAAGAATAGAATATGTCTCTAAACACTTCTACATTAATGTGGATGCTACCATGATTGTGGAGAATCCTGAATGAATTGTGAAAAAGTTACAGACACACAAATATCATACCCCAAGACATACTAGCCTCTCGCCATTACAATAACAGGGAAGGTTAGCATTTTTTTGGGGGGGGTATGATATTTGTGCATCTAACTTTCTCACTCAAGAATCGTGAATAATTATTCATGCTGTAATTCCTAAACGGTTCACCCGATATGGATGAAAATACCCTCAAATTAAAGTTCAGCCAGCACTTTAACCTCATAGTCACTGTATCATTCCAAATCCAAAGTGTGGTATCATCTTTTGGCTCAAAAAAATAATTTTGGAGCTCAGTGTTGTTCATCATCTTTTTAGTCTCGCAGCTCAGCATGATCAGCAAACATCTTTTTATCGATTCAATGCAGAATGACACTTCAGAATGACACTTTCAATGATCAGCCATTTATGTTCAGACCAGGAAGATAAACTCACTTACTCCCCTTCTCCCTATCACTCTGTCTCCATCCAGGTGTCCCCAAACATAGCCCTGGAGGCCTTTCTGATCAAGCCGTCTAACTTCCAGGGTCTTTCGTGTATGGCAGTACAGAGAGCCCCCCTGCCACCCCTCTCTGGTCAGAGGGCCGATGGGACCCAGGATGCCATCGGGGACACACTGCTCAACTTCAAATGTCACACGGTCAACGGCAGCGGCTCCCCCGCAAGCCAACTCAGCAAGGTACAGGACATAGAAATAGATGACTTGATAATAAAACATTGAAGGATGAACTTCCTGCTTTTACTCCACGGTTAATGAGTACAACATACACTCAATATGGCTGCCGGTCCACCCGTTACAGAACGTTGACTTGAATGAGAATGTCTGTTCTAGGAATTATATTTCTATGGTACAGTAACAGTTAATCAAAGATTAGACATTTTATTTCTGTCCTAAAGTTCTCTCTGTCTATGTTTTTGTACATAATGCAGCGTATTATGGTCAAGATTCAAATGCACCCACTTTGGTGTAAGAATAATAGGGCAGTGCTCCTGTCTGGCAGACTTGTTGTCTATTAGTCTCCATAAATTGACATCCTGTTTTGCTGTAGATCAGCCTGTGATAGGTTGCACTGTGAAGGGGGAAGGGTCGGGATTGGTGGGGTAGTTTTGGAGTCAGTGTATGTAGGCCACTCTCCTTTGATGGATACTGTGGCCTTGTATCCCTGTCACACTAAATCACTGTTACCCCATCATACCTCCTGCTGGCCCATCCCAAATGACAGATGCCACGTCAGCTACACCTTACAGTCTACATATGCAGACAGGGAAAAACACTCCTCTGGCATTGAAGTGGCATTGTTTTGCAATATTTCAGTAGGTAGTTATACCCATCAGCTACTGTGTGTGTGTGTGTGTGTGTGTGTGTACGTACTTGTGTGGGTGTGTGTGTGTGTGTACGTACTTGTGTGGGTGTGTGTGCATGTTTGCTTGCGTGCCTGCGTGTTTCTGCTTGTTTGTTGACTGTGTCCTCTTATGATTAGTTAAGACTGTCTACTGTGCTCAGCTATTATTTAGCTTGGTTGCAGTGCCCAGTGCAGCTGTGCAGCGATCTCAGATGGACTAGCGATTGTGGAGGAAAGCAATGCATTGGGCCAATGACAGAGGTCGAGAGCATGACTAGGCTTATAGAAGTGAACCAATTCCAAACAAAACCTGTGTGGCTTGATAGACGTGTGGCTTGAAAGACAGGGAGTGATTGTCATTGAGAAAGTGAGCGCTCAATGGGAATGTGACATTGTGAGGTGCACTCAGAGCAGCAGTGGGCCACTTAGGGTTGGGATGGAAATGCTGCCAGCCCTCTCTCTCTCTCTCTCTCGCTCTCTCTCTCTCTCTCTCTCTCTCTCTCTCTCTCTGGCACTGGCCTCGTCCTTGCTCTTCTCTGCTCTGCTCTGGGAGTACAACCCTCCGACGTGGCACTGCATATGCAAAGGCCCCTCCAATTACTGCCGATCTGGCACGGCCTCACAGGCCCTTCCTCACTGCACTGTAACAGCCGCCCTGGCAGCCACTCACATCCACTGTTTAGAGGGCGCTTTTCCACCCCAGTAATCAGCCTCAATTGCCATTTCTCATGTAGGCATCTGTTAGGATTGTTTTGTGCATAGGAATGCCATTTACAGGATTTGAATTAGAATCCTGGAGAAATCGGTTTACTGTTATTGGTTTTACTGTTATACACTTGTGGATAACAATGACATTCACACCAGCAATAACTGCAATATGCTATTGCTACATGACAATATTTAGCTATTGCTAAATGACAATTGTCTGTGGTTCTCACCAAATGAGTGCTGGACAGCTAGTCATCCTAATGTAGTCAACAGTTACGTTGGGATTCCCCCCTTTGAATTCCAATACGGTGGGTACTGGCACATGTCCTTAGGCAAGGCTTCTACCATTGGGGTGGGGGGGGGGGGGCTATTCAACTTCTGTCTGTAGTTCCTCGCGGTGGCTGGAGGTGTAGGTGCAGGGCTGCTGCAGGGCTCAGTGGTTCCCTTTGATTGTCCTTGTTTCACCGGTAGACAGAAAGCAATTAAAGATGCAAAGCGGGAGCCTGGCCCTACCGCTCATCACTTTGACTGTGAAGACGGCGTGTGTGTTCAGTGTTGATTTAGAGAGCAAATCCATTCAGGCCACACACACTCATGCACACGCGCACGCACACAAGCACACAAATACACACACACATACACAAACACACACACACTAATCTTCCACTCTCACGTTTTCACTAAAACTGACTCAGACATACAACATCCCTCAGGAGGAGAGGCTACTTCCACAAATATCATCGTTCCCGTCTCTTCTTTCCTCAGTATAGAACACTGCATGTTTGGAGGAATTGTAGACCATTGTATCCTTCCATTTTCTCACCCCCTCTCTGTGCTGTGATTAGTTCAGTGTACTCTGTACTACTGATGGTATTTAAGCCATAGTGCTGTTTTAGCCCCCACTTTCTGAGTGTCTGATCTCTATCTCACTGGCTGTGTCTCATGCCTGTTTAGTGCTGTGCTAGGTTAAACTGAACTACTGCACAGAACATATGGTCACGCTGTGCCCACACACAGCCAAACGGGTGGCATAGCACACACACACACACACACACACACACACACCCACAAACACACACACACACGCTTACATGCGCACAACCACGATCACACGCATGTGCACACACACAAACACACACAGTCACTAGATGCCAGACCTCAGTCACCAGCTCCATCCAACACACATGTTTTCAAATGTCTGGCTGGTAGCTAATTGGATGGGATAACAGTGAAATAGAAGGCATCTGGTTTGTGGATTTCCTCAAAAGAATTTCACTGAAAGACCACACACTCTCCCCTCAACAGTGCCAAGCTGCACAGTCACTTCAAACAAAATGTATAATAACAGAATATCAGGGGCATCATAGAGTCTGCCAGTAAACTACTGTATTATTTAGTTTAATTTCACGCATTTTGCATGCCTATTAATAAAGATTAGTTCTAGAGAGGAGAAGCATTCTCATGGGTGCGAAATACAGCTAATGATGCTGTCTTTGATAATATCACCTGAGTTTAACGCTACTCTACATCGTTCATATTATCACCTACTTATCACCAAAGCAGATTCTCTTTCAGTGCCATCTGGTAAACATTATTAATCTCATCTGATGTAATTGCCCAGAGCCTTTTTCATAATTTTTTGTTTTTAATTGTCTTATGTTAAGCCAAAATATTTTTAGGTTCAAAGTCTGACAATTAGCCATCTATGCCGACGTTTGGCACCTAATCGCACACTCGTGCGTAAAATAACAGTTTTGAATAATGGGACACTACAATTAATCCAAAATGAGTTTGGAATACTGCTGCTCACGATGGCATTGTTTGCCTTGCATTTTCACATTGTTTCATTTAAATGAAATCATTAAAAGAGCAGTTTCAAGATATCACGCCTCCAAGTGTTTTTATGCACTGTGAGGGTGTGATTAAAAATGTCTGCTAGAGTCACAGTCATGTCTTAAAAGCTAACTGAATAGCTAAGACCACAGGGGGGGCCCAGTGATACCCTACAGTAGAGGTATCGGCCAGGCCAGTTAGGACAATATTTACCAGTCACTTCTCTCCCCCTTGCTCATTAAGACATAATTAATTAGTGAGGGCCTGTGGCTGAGCTGGTGGGATATGCTAACCCCTCTCTTTAGATAGCGTTCCTGCTCCATAGAGCTTTAGTGCTTTTTAATGATGCTGCTGTTAGCCGTTAGCCGCTAAACAGTCACCCTGCAGGTTAGAGCTGCTACCTCATCCAGGGACTGTTGGTGCTGGAAATACACAACCACAGGCAGAAAGACACAACCACAGGCAGAAAGACACAACCACCAAATATCTCATGCAACAAGTGCTCAGAGACAAATTGAACTGACACAACCTACTTTTTGAACACAGATTCAGTAATTCCCTGATAGTGATTTATAATATAATAATTAATTCCATTTAGTATGCGCTTTTATCCGAAGCGACTTGTGAGTGCATACATTTAAGCATGTGACCCCAGTGGGAATTTAACTCACAACCCTGGTATTGTTAGCGGCACACTCTTAGCAACTGAGCCAAACAGGACCACACAGCTTTCATAATGTAGATACAGACTAGGAGTGTTGTTGAGAATTCTGTGCATAAACCATTGGAGGAATTAAGCCATGTAAGTGGGTATCGACAGAGTGAAGGCTGTTCATTAGCACGTTGACCTGTATTCTCTTAGACGAGCAGAAGTACAGAGAGGAAATCATGCAAATTCCCCTGCACGATTCATACCCGAATTACTCAAGGTTAGTCGTATGTGTGCCAAATGTCATGTCCATTATTTTCATGGGTTTCAGTGCAGATACTTATTGTGTATGTGTGTGATATGTGTGTGTGTGTGTGTGGTTGTCTGTGACCATACATATGAGTTCATTTGCATTTGTGCTGTGTTCTATAACTGCAAAAGCATACAAAAAATAAAACTAAGAATTGTATTTTTCCTGAAACAAACAGGCCTGTGATGCTGCAGTGAGGTTCTGAATGCTAAACACTGTGGAAACCCTCTCCTCTACTCCTCGCAATAAGAAGAGGGAGGGTGAGAGGTAGAGAGGGAGGGAGGGAGGGAGGGAGGGAGGGAGGGAGGGAAGGAGAAAGCAAAAAGAGAACTGGAATTTAGGAAGAATGAGAAAGAGGGAGAGACAGGGAAACACGATGGATGAAGAGAAGGGATAGGAAATTGAGAAGCAGACAGAGAGAGGGTGAGAGAGAGAGACAGAGGGATCAATAGAGAAAGAGACATTGAGAAAGAGAAATAGTTCCATCGCCGAGCAGTTGGGGAGATCTGTCCATTTCGCTGAACAGGACAGAGGAAATTTGGTTATCTTTGTGCCTTTGGAGCCTTGTCGCTCTAGCTGACTGGGCTTTGTGCAGCAGAATGGCCCTGGCTGTCCTTTGTCGGGTCGGGTACGCACGCACGCACACACACAAACACACACACACAAACACACACCGTACACACACACAGACGCACACATCCTCCATTCCATTCCCATCCCCTACCTGGTCCTGCTCTGCCGCAGTACAGCACTCACACTGTTTCATTAAGTGACTCTGTTGCATTACCACGCTCGTGCTGTACTGGACTGCTGGCTGTACAATGCTGTATTATGAAGCTAGCTCCTCCTTATCCGTTTGCTGCTGGCTGTCCTATGCTATGCAGTCAGAGCGTTACTTTGCTGCATAATGGTTTATATGAAACTTTGGACTCTGCTGCACTGCACTACACAATGTAGTTGTTGTTTGCCCTTGACAAGGTTTCTTTGTGCATACAGTGCTTCAACATTCCTTATAGCAAGGCATGCTTTTATTGTAGATTGAATTCCTTGAAATCCTCCTCTGCTTATAGGGGGTGGGTTGAGGTGAGGGCATTATCAGTGACACATAGCTGATTAATAGATATGTGACGTACAGGGATTGTTGATGCCCCTGGCTGGCATCGATTGTTAATGTTGATGAAAACCCTCAACCTTTTATTTTAGTCTGAGAAATACAGT